TTATTATAACCCAATTTTATAGAGGAGAGAACTGAACAGATTTTTTTAAATTGAAAGGAAGGTTGAGACAGGGTCTCCTTAGGCTGGCTTAAACTGACTATGTAGCCCAGGCTGACCTGGAACTCATGGTGATCCTCCTGCACTAGCCTCCCAAGTGGTGGGACACACATGACTGAACAAATTTTGAATTTTAAAAAATTTACTGAGTTTTTTTGTAATACTGGGAATTGAACCAGACCCTTGCACAAAGCACACCCCTTCCCCTCAACTTTTTTAAAAATCTGAGACAGGTTCTCACTAAGTTGCTAATTTGCCCAGATTGGGCTCAAATTTTTGATCCTCTAGTCTCAGCCTTCCAAGTGTTCTTGGATTACAGGTATGCACCCCCTTGCCTGGTCCTGAACATCCGTTTTAGAAATACAAAATTGTTGTTTCTTTTTCGAATAGGATATCAACTTCTGAACTCTCTATGAAGGTTGGGGTTGAAACTTTGGAGCGGAACAGGTTACCACTCGGGTGGACAAAGAGGAAAACAAGTTGTGGGTATTGCAGGGATATCTTTAGATGAAAGAACCTGGGTAAACAGAACAATCAGTGAGAACCAGGTCAGTGAGGATAGTGCACTTTCATAGTATTTGAGAAAGAAATCGATTGGCTGCAAGGCAGGGTGGCACATTGGCAAAGAGGTAACAGTTCCTGGCAGCCGGGTCAGCGGAAGACAGCAAAAGTAGCAAGAGCAAAAAGAGGAGCAAGCTTCGTTTCCTTTCCTTGTATTGAAGGCAGACTATCTACCCTAGAGTGAGTAAAGCACTGACACTCCCAATCCTAGCACTAGACTCACAAACTTTAGATTTAGCCACCTCTGAAAATCCCACCTTCTAGGATCACATAAGGCTTTGGAGGGACTTCCAGACAAATCACAACAGGAAGATCCCAAGAAGGGGAATAGCTGGGTCAAATGGAACTTCAAGTTTTAGTGTTTTGAGGATTCTCCATACTGATTTCTATGGTAGTTACATCAGTCTACATGCCCACAACAGTGCAGAAGTGTTTCTTTTTTCCCACAGCTCCACCAGCATTTTTTTTTTTTTTTTTTGTACTAGTAATTAAGCTCAGAACCTCATGCTTGCCAGGCAGGTGCAGTGCTGCTGAGCTAAATCCCTGGTCCCAGCATTTTTATTGATTGATTTTTTGATAGCCATGAGTTTCTTTCTTTCTTTCTTTTTTGGGGGCCTGAGGATCAAACTCACAGCCTCACTCTTGCCAGGCAGGCACTTATGCCACTGAGCTAAATCCCCTGCCCTGATTTCTTGATCATTGCCATTCTTTCTGGAGTGAGATGGAACCTAAGCGTTGTTTTAATTTGTATCTCTTGAATGACCAGTGATGTTGAAGGTTTTTTTTTCATATATTTATTTGCTGTTTTTAATTCTTCATCTGAAAAGCATCTTCGTTTCAGATGTCTGTTTTTGGATTGAGTCTTTAAATTTGGAGGCATAATTTTTCTGAGTTTTTTAATGCTCTAGATATTAGTCCTTTGTCTGAGGAACAACTTGCTAAAATTTTTTTCCACACTATGTGTTATCTCTTCATTCTGTTGATGATTTATTTTGCTGTGCAAAAGCTTTTTAATCAGATGAGATCTCACTTGTTGATTCTTTGTAATATTTCTTGTAAAATCATGGTTTTGTTCATGAAATCTTTGCCTATATCAAAGTCTTCAAGAGTTCTACTTGTTCTGTCTTCTGGTAGATTTGTGTGTTTGTTTTAATGTTTAGATCTTTGATCATTTCAATTTTAGTTTAGTGCATGGTAAGAGACATGAGTCTAGTTTTAGTTTTCAACATGTGGAAAGCCAGTTTTGCCAGCACCATTTATTCCTGTAAAGGTATTTGGCCCCTTTGTCAAAGATAAGATGGCTAGGGGTTGGGGGTTTAGCTCAGCGGCATAAGTGCCTGCCTTGAAAGCAGGCAGTCATGAGTTCAATCCCCGGTACCAATAAAAAGGAAAAAGACAAAAAAAATAAAATAAAAAAATAAAAAATAAGATGGCTAAGTGTTGAAATTGTTTCTGTATTTTCAAATCTTTTCTATTGATCCTCAGGTTTGCTTTTGTTCTGTTTTATTTGCTTGCCACTACCATGCTGTTTTTATCACTGTGGCTTTATAATATAATTTCAAGTCAGGCTGGCTTTGAACTCACTTGTAGCCAAGGTTGGCCTAAAACTTGAAGCCGTTCTTCTGTGGACTATTGGGATTTGTCTTACTTTTCTCTCATTGCTGAGTCAAAATACCTGATACTCAAAGTGAAAGAAGGAAAGGTTTATTTAGCTTACAGTTTGTGGAGGTTTCAGCCCATACTCATTTGGCTCCAATGCAGAGTGGTACGGCTAAGAGGCAACTGTTCATGGCAGCTGCAACAGAAACTAAAAGGGACAAGAGCAAAAGGGCAAAAAGAGGGGGAAGTATGCTTTTTTTCTTCTCTTATAAGCAGGCAACCCCCATTAGATGCATGTAGCACTCACACCATCTGCATGCCCTCCTGCTGCCTAGGCTGAGAGTGTTTACAAAGTAAGGACCCTGGTCCCCTGCTGAATCACCGTAAACTTTTGACCTTCTCAAATTGACACAATGGATAATATCCTAGAGAGCTAAGGGCAAGTTCTTTATACCCCAGGATGAAAAGTAGCTGAGTTACTTAGTTAAGCTTCTTGACTTCTCAAATTGACACAATGTATCAACCTTAATAGGATTATAGGCACATGACACCACACAGCTTTGGGTTTTTCAAAACTTTGTTTTCCAGTAGTCCTGAACAGTTCTTTTGGACAATGAATTTGTGTGTATTTGGCCTGTTTTAGGTTTTCATTCCATACATTTTTCTTCTCTCCCTTCTCTTACCCTTCCCATTCCCCTCACCCTCCCTCTTTTTCTCCTTATTTTGTATGGGGGATTGAACTCAGGGCTTTCATACTGAGTTACATACAGCCCCAGCATGTTTTTGTAAGATAGAGTTTTGCTAAATTGCTAAATTGTCTAGACTAACTCAGTTTTGGGATTCTCTTGCCTTAACATCCAGAAAGGCCTGTGCGGCCATGCCCAGCTTCATTTACTTTTTTAGTTCTGCATTTCTGCATAATTTCTTAAGGAGTCCTGCATACTGTTTTGGTTTGCTTGGGTACTCATCTAGGGTGGCTTTACTTTTCTTCTTCTAGGTAATCAAGTAAGCTGTAGCCAGCAGATGGCACTCCAATAGAGAAGGGCAGAGTTCCTTTCTTTATAAAGACCACTAGGGAGAGTAATTTAAAAAGTCAAGCAAACCTGGCATGGTGGTGCACTCCTGTAATCCCAGCACTTGGGAGGCTGAGGCAGGAGGATTGTTGCAAATTCGAGCCCAGCCTGTGCTACAAAGTGAACCCAAGTCTGGGTGAATGATTTGGGGATGACAGTGTGCAATGTATGTACCATTGTTGCTCCCTGATTGATGTGATTTGAAATTTTTATTTTTTTCTTTATTTTTTCTTTTTCTCCTTGAAATAAAATGAATGTGGAAAACAAAAAAGCTACACACACAAAACAAAATGAACCCAAGGCCAATCTGAACTGTATAGCAAGATCCTGTCTCAAAAAGACAAATAAATAAGTACATTAATTAAAATAAAATAAAAATAAATAAAACTTCAGCCTCTGAAAATCCATCGTCTCACTTTCCCTGAACCCTAATAAAGAGGATGGAGATATTTGCAATTACAGATTTCAATTTACAAAGTAGAATTTGTAGCCATTCCCTCCACCCCATTCCCATCATTAGGCTGATGATACCTTCCACGAGGGCGTCAAAGTGTTTTCAGGAGAGTGTTGTCCAAATATGGTTAATTTATGGTTAAAGTGGCTAGGTGATCCACAAAATGATTCAAACACAGGAGACAATTAAGACTGTTCTGATAGTTTAAGAAAAATCTATTCAGACAGTTACCTGAGAATTTCTGACAACTTGGGAGTTTCGGGATCTGAAATATGTAAATTTTGGGGGCTGGGGATTTAACTCAGCGGCATAAGTGCCTGTCTTGCAAGCAGGCAGTCATGAGTTCGATCCCTGGTACCGATAAAAATGAAAAAGACAAAAAAAAAAAAAAAAAAAAAAAAAAAGAAATACGTAAATTTTTGTTACAAAGTTCTTTATTCATTTTACAAGTTGGAATGCAAGCAGACTAGATTTCCCTTGGCAGTAAGGAAGCGCTGTAGGGCCAGGGCAAGTCTCACAGTCTTAGCTACTGCCCACCCCCCCTAGTCTCCAACTTATTGCCCACACCAAAACTGTCACATATTTATTACTGAACCAATCTACTACCATACATATAAAAACAAAAAGGAAAATATATTCTCAATAAAACGTCCAGATAAGCAGTGATCGGTTTTCTATGGCAAGACAGTAGTGACCTTGTTGTAGTAAATGTGTGCCCTCTCATGTGCAATTCTTTGCAGACCCAACTTGGTCTTCTCTAATGCTCCCTCTTAGAATTGTACTTGATTTTATTACCAGTTTTCATTAGAATTTACTGCGGGAATGGGATGATTTTGCATTTGTTTCTTGGCCAGGAATCAGCTGACCCTGAAAGTGTGGTGAGAAGGCAGGGCGGGCGACTGAGCCAACCGCACTGGCGACGGTGGATAAATGGACAGCAGGGTTACTTCTTTAGTCCTGTTGTCTAGGTTTTAAGTGAACTCCGAAGATGCAAACCCCTCCGTTGCAGGTGGCTGGTGCTGAAATAAACGCATAAGCACACGGCTACCACAATGCAAAATGTACTTTTTTCATACGCACCAATCTAGCCCTAACTTCTCGGCAGCTTTCTCTATAAGGGCGGTTACCAAGCCTACTCAGAAAGCCTTGCAAAGGGCACTGCCTAACAATGCTTAAGCACACGCGCGCCACTCACTGGGGTTCTCTAGCTCGGCAATCGGCTAGCAGCACTCAATTGCGTTCGGTGCGCGACACTGGTTCCTTGCGCTTGCGTACTATTGTCCCAGCCCGTCGCCGAGGCCCGGATCGGGAAGTGTCAAGCGGGAGCCGGGTTCCCGTCTTCGCCGCTATCACTGCTGAACCCGGACTTCTTACACAGTCCGGGGCTCAGCCACCATGACCAACGGTGAGAGCTGGTGCCCCCACAGAGGGTGGGAGTGAAGAACTAGGGGGAAACGTGGCGGGCGGGGCGGAGACTAACGTGGCCTTGGCCGTTCTCCCCGCCCCCTCCCGGCCCTGCCCCCCTTGGTCTTTCTGAGCCCCTTTCTACCTTTTGTACCTCTGCGCACATCCTTTCTACAGGTACCCATATGGGTTTCCCGGCCCTTGTCCTGCTTGCAGCTCAGCCTTCTGTCCCTGCCCTTCGCTTTCTCTCTTTTTACTAAAAGTTTATCCTAGCCCTTGGGGAGCCAGTGCCCGTAGTAGCTGTGCTGTTTAGCCCCTGGGAAGAGAGGCTCTTCCAACCGTCTCCGTTCTCATACTTAGGGATTGCAGGTTAGTTGAGAGGACCAAACCAAAAAATCACAGAGGATAACAATCCCCTCACTTTGGAGTGTGTGTTATGTGAATGTACGCCCTCCCAAAAGTTCTCCTGTTTCGCAAATAGTTGTTTCAAAAGCATTCTCTTTTTGTTTTAAGCTTTTAGCTCATTAACGAGACCTGGAGATCTCTTTTTTACTAGAAGTTTATCCTAGCCCTTAGTTTTGCAAGGGATGGATTTATACACTGCCTTTCCTAAACGATGTGGTAGTCGTCGCTTGTTGATCTGACCTAATTTTTATGGGCCTCTTCAAACACTTTATGGACAGGATTTACAGATTCCAGGGGAGGGAAGGAAGCAGAGTTATTAATAGTCTTGAGAATTATCCTCTGGAGGAGGAGGAAACAAAGTCTTTTAGGTAATATAATTTGAAAGTCATAAGAAAACATTTCCAAAATTGCCTTGTTGATAGTTCTGGTACTAATTTCAAATTTCACCTATTTGTGAGTTTTCATAGTGTCTAAAAACTTACAGGATTTAAGAAGAAAAAGTATGGGATGAGATGTCATTTCTTTTCTTTTTTCTTTTTTTTTTTTTTTTTGTCTTTTTCTTTTTTATTGGTACCAGGGATCGAACTCACGCCACACACTGGCAAGGCAGGCACTTATGTCGCTGAGCTAAATCCCCTGCCCCAAGATGTCATTTCTTATAAAAACTTAGTATATGTATTAACATATTGTACCTAGAAGTGCTGTAGTTTTAATGATAGAAGACAGTTGTGGTCCAGAACTGGCAGACACGGGTTATATAAAAAAATCCATTTGGAACTTGCTGGGCAGTCAGTGATCTTAGGATACTATGCATAGTAAAAGAAAAGACATCACCCAGAGGAAAAAATAATCTGAACCAGGAAATAAAAGCATATTCTAAGCATGTGTGAGGGTCTGAGTTAAATGTCCAGTACCAGAAAAAAAATTTTTTTTAAGAACTCATCATGGCCTGATGTGGTGGTGCATGCTTGTAATCCCAGCACTCAGGAGGCTGAGGCAGGAGGATCTTGAGTTCAAAGGCAGCCTGAACTACATAATGAGACCCTGTCTCAAAAACAAAAACGCTCCAACTCTTTCTGATGCCTAGTAGTATTACCCACCCGCGGTTTGTGATCCAATATTGTTTGTTTTGTATTTTTGCAGTTAGGTAATTCATTGTGCTTAACAGAAAATAAAGAGCTTGATTTACATATCAAAGAAGAAATAGAACTAAGAGTTTAAAGTTTTCTACTATATTGAAGCATTATTTGAGTGATTTATAACAAGGCATGTTTAGTGTTTGTGTTCAGGCTCCAAGGATTCTTATGCTTCTCTCAGCGTATTGCACATTGCAATTTTTTGGTTGTGGGAAGCTGATTCCACATAAACTGATGCACTCTGCTTGGATTTCTAGTTTGCAAAAAGGAATGATGGGAGGAGACAGTGAAACTGTTGTAGAGGTGATGTCTATAAGCAGTTTTTGGAAACGGGGAACATTGTAAGTTCCAGGATTTTGGCTCCCTCTCATCAACTGTTGCCACTGCCGGTCAGGTTTCATCTTGATCTTTTTTTGAAAGCTTTCAAATTTTTTATTTTATGTACAAAGAACTAGCATTGTCTCTTTCATTGAGTCAATGTCCTGGATAATCCATTGAAGGAAGATTACTTAATCCAACTTGTTGAAGCTGATGTCCTTTGCATACTGATGGAAACACTGGAAACACGTGTTCAAGCCCTATTTCAGGTCATACCATGTGGTTTTGATCACACTTGGAAGGAGTGAGATCCCTGGCCTCATTTCCGTGGGCGGCTCCAGGAGAGCCACTGGTGACCCAAGTTGCTTCCAGAGGCCCAAGGAGGCAAAAAGCTTATCTTGATTTTATATCACACTTTGTCCTCAAGAGCTATCAGATGGCATCACATTCCCAAGCTAGATCAGCTCCAAAGGTTTTCTTTTCTTCTTTATGTGACAGTGTACTCCTTGGATGGGATTCTGGTGTTTGGTTTGCTCTTTGTTTGTACCTGTGCCTACTTCAAGAAAGTACCTCGTCTCAAAACCTGGCTGCTGTCAGAGAAGAAGGGAGTTTGGGGTGTGTTTTACAAAGGTAAGGTTAGTCTGAACAGGGAGAGGAGATGGCCATTTCTGGACAGTGAAGTGCTACAAACTAGGGGATGTAATGGGCTGGGATTATATTTTCTTCCACTCAGAAAAAAGTTGCTGATACAACATCTGAGAGTCAGTAAAATAATCATTTTCCAAAAATATTTTAAACTTATTTTAGCTTTCAGGTAATTTTAGTATTCTCCATGAATTAAAAATGTGTAAGTTAAGCAATTTTAGGCAGGGCTGGAATTTCTCCCTTCAGTAGGAGGAATATTTTCCCACTGAAAAATTTTCCGATTTTCTGGAGAGAATACAGTGCCATTCTTTTAAGTTTTGTTGTAATTAACTGAGATGTATTTTTACTTTTTTATTTGAGATACCATCATCTGCAATACTACTACCAAAATCTTTCTCAAATTAGGGTAAAATATGCACAAAAAATATGTTCACTGAGAACTTAGGACATAAATGTAGCTTTTTTTTTTTTTTTTTTTTTTTTTTGAGGCAAGGTCTCACTGTGTATCCCAGACTGACCTTGAACTTATGGTGATCCTCTTGTCTCAGCTTCCTGAGTGCTGGAATTACAGGCATGCACCACTACACCTGGCAAGTGTAGCATTTAAAAAAATTCTTTTTTGAGAGCCTTGATAGGTCTCTTAGTCTTAATAGTGATTTCAGAATATCACCTTGACTATAAGGGCTCTTGTGAAGGGTGAGGTGTGATTTTGTCTCTTTTTCTTTTTGCTGCTAGCTGCTGTGATTGGAACCAGGCTGCATGCTGCTGTGGCAATCGCCTGCATTGTAATGGCCTTTTACGTCTTGTTTATAAAATGAATTCCAAAGTATCCAACTCATCAGCTGCCAAACAAGGGGACAAGAGTGAAGAACCTGCTGGAGGCCTGGACCCAGTGTAGGAGAGTTCAGCTAAAATCATCAATGCCCCAGGATGACACCAGAGCATCTGTCCCTGCCAATATGTAGGGAAAATTCCTCATGGTCATGAACATTATTTGTGCTCCAGGGGACTCTAGAAAGCCATCTTCCTTTGATCTCTGTGTAAATCAGCTCTCAGTAATGAGCATATAAATGCCCAGATAAATTACATCCCTCAGTGATAAGATTATATACCTCTTGCTTAAAAGCCAGTCACCTGGGCTGGGGTCATAGCTCGGTGGTAAAGCATTTGCTTAACATGAGGCCTTGTGTTTGATTCCCAGGTCTGCAAACAAATAACAACAACAACATCGTCATAACCCTGTCACCTATTTTGTTCTTCAATCTTTCATCAGGATCTTTTCAAACTGAGGCCCTTAGGGAAGGACATAAGCTATGTTCAGACTTCTTGGAAAGAGAAATAATTTTCAAGACTTCACTTTTTTCTCACCAATTTGGATTTGGCAAATTGGTGAGGGAGGGTGGTAGGTGGGAAATAGAAATTATGAAAAGTCAAGAAATTGACTTTAGGAATTCATGTACCCATCTGGGAACATAAGAGAGGCATGGCTGTCATTGCAAAAAGAACAGATGAAGCAGCTTACAATGTACTGGTAGCTTGAGGGTTTTGCCAAGAGAATCTGAGCTTACATAAAATTTGGAAATTGTCTTTGTATGAGGAGACTAGAAACTAATGATTGAGGTAAGAAAACATTTTCTCTCTACCTTATCCCCAAAAGTAGACTTCAATCAATCAAATGTTAAAAGAAAAAAATGAATCAACTGTTGCTATTTCCTAAAGCTTTTTTATATTTTCTAAATTACTTAGTGCTTAATACTGTTTTTCAGTTTTAAATGCCACCACTAGGGGAAAAAGAAACTATTGAAGAATATTGAAGAAATAATTGTTTAATATATTGCAGTTAGGGTAGAAGAAAAATAAATTAGTATATCAATTCATATACTAGTTAAATCATCTAGTATAAGAATTTATTGTAATATTAGATGGGAGTTTTGTCATACTATAAAAGATACAAACATTTTTAAAGTGTGGATTGTGGCAATTTTCAGCTGATCGCTTGATTTTCTTGATCAAACCTTAATTTTCTTCAGATTGAGGTGCTCTTTCATTGTCTGAAAGTTTTATTCTCTGTAGGAACATGAGACATTCAAGGGAAAGAAGTTGCTGGTGTTTGTTGACATACTTGGACAGTTGATAGGCTGCATTAATAAAATGAGAGTGTTTTATGGAATAAAGTCAAACAGAACTTTGCAATTGAGAGTGAAAAACTGGAGTATGATAGCTTCTGAGCAAATCATTTTAGATTACTCAACATTTGAAGGGAAGACTTTTCCACTCCTCATATCCTCGGGTCAGCTAATGGAGTTGTGAAACCTAGACTGTCTCTATTTACAAGGAAGAGATGATCTAAAATTATAAACAAGCATAACATAAATCTTCCAATTGTTCATTACAGTGAAACTTGGTAATTCAGCTGCGATTGACTCTTTATGGCAATAAATTATCTTTTGTCGGCTTACTCCAAAAGAATGAAAGCTGCTAAGAAGTTTAGGTTCTGAAATTTACAGTTTAGTATTTTGAAAGGTTTTAAATGCATAGAAGACCAGATAAATTCTACGTGTGTCTGTCATCTCAGATTTGTGGGTGTTATCTCTTCAGGAATTGGTTAACAGGGTAAATTTCAGTGATTCATGTATTATATATTGTCATTTCTGAGGACTTTCCTAATGAAAGCAAAGGAATCTAGTGAAATAGGGTTCTTGAAGAAGAGTTACACTTGAGAGTGTTGGTTCAGAACCTGTTGGCCAAGTGGAATGTCACCCCGAGGAAACAAGGTTCAGCATGTTTGCACTTATTTTCCAGCTTTAATAACTTGTTTTCCTTTTTTTTTGTACCAGGAATTGAACTCATGACCTTTGCTTGCCAGGCTGTGCTGCTGAACTATATCCCCAGCCTATGTCTTGTTTTCCAATAGAGCTAATGTCTCTTAAGTTTGGACCTTAGAGATGCTTCATATTTTAAACTAGTCCCATTCTACACTTGTACAAGCCACTTTTTACAGCCTCTTGGGTGGGTTATCTTGACCTAAACTCTTGAGTTATATTTTGAGATACTGCCATAGTACAATGTACCAAAAAGTGCACAAGTAAAGGCAATTTACAGCAAAAAGCAAACACATGGCCTATTTAATTTCTTGACTTTATGTAAGCAGATAAACAGAAACTTGTTTAATTCATTACTTTGGCTGATGTGTCATGTACTTTGGGCTAGCAATTAAAAGCTGTTCCTCTTAGGCAAGCACATTAAGGTGGAGATAAGAGGAGAGCAATATTGCCTCAGATTCTACTTTGCATTACCATAATCCCTGGATGGAATCAAGTTGCTTCTTTTTATAGTAAAAGTACAGTTTTTTATTCATCACTGTCTACAGAAATCCTTGAAAATAAAAATTTTCCCTATAACCTTTGTCCATTTTATTTGTCAAATGCTAAATTTGTTGAATTTTGTTTATTATTCCTTTGGGTTATGCTCATGCATAGATTTTTAATTCATGTTAGTGAATCCCATCATTCCAGTTTCCTCCATGTGAAGGTCATTGACTGCATGATGTGGTTGAGAATGATGGCCTAGCTTTCTTGGAGAGAGTGGAGGTTTTTATAGAATTTGAGGTATATTAAATAAGTTAAATAGCCCCCCCCCTCTATTGCTGTTACAATGCAAGTATCATCTATCATCAGTGATAAACTTCCTTGTTCAAATACAATTACCAGATTAACCATTCAAGCATCTAGAAAAATTTTTGAGCTAATGGAATTCAGGCACTTACTATGGGTACTTTTTGCTGTTAGTTTATTCCAGATGCCTCATAGGACTGGCATAAGTATTATACATTCCTAAGTTACTTTCTTCACTGAGTTTTTTTGTTGCAGTGGGAATTGAACCCAGGACCTTATGGATGCCAGGCAAGCACTCTGCCATAGCTACATCCAACTCTTTAAAAACTTTACTTTGAGCCCTAAATTGCCTTTATGGCTGTCCTTAAACTTTTGATCTTGCTTCCCACCCCCCCATCTCCAGATGGAATTACAGGCATAGGTCACCATGTCCGACTCAGAAGTCACTTAAAGATCTCCAATTCTTTTGCTTTAATCCTCCCCTTACATACCTACTTAATTAAAAAAGAAGAAAGAGTTGAAATATTAAAGCTCCACTCTTGTGAGAGGCACTAATTCTACTTTACATACGTGCTACTATTTTTCACTTACGTAGTTTGAAAGAATGTTTCAGTAGATATGAGTGCATACAAAAGTTCAGTTGTATGAATGTCACAGCATTCAAGTTCTAGGCAGTCAGAGAGCTCTGAGGCCATGGGTATATTTTCCTGCCTTTAATTTCATGGATAGCCCATCTAGTATTTGGATTTAAATACTCTATTCCTGGGGCTAGGAGTGTAGGCTCAGGGTTGCAACACTTACCAGGTACCATGAGGCCCTGAGATTTAATTATCTCATATACAGAATTTGGGTATTTGTTTATTTAGGCTTGTTTGTTTAAACAAGGTCTTGCGATGTTGCTTCGTCTGGCTCTGGACTCATCATCCTCCTACCTCAGCCTCCCAAGAACCGGGACTATAGACATGTACGACTACGCTCAACTGGCCAATTAAATATTTAAATAGAAATAAGGATAAGTAGGTGTGAATATGGAAATTTTATATAAACTGATACAAAGATCAAAACCACCATTCGGCTTGTAGTGTATCAGTGTATCAAGTCTTTTCCTTGGGTCCTTCGAGCCACGCGGGGGCAGCAAAGCGCACTTGACAAGGGGTGTGTTGGACTCTTCTGCTGGTGCTCAATGGTTCCTCCCAGAATCCTCTGAGGCGGGGCAGAGGCTTTAAAAGAGGGCGCGGACTTCCGCTACTTCACTGGAGGGAAAGCGGCCTGGGAATGTGATCTGTGGTACGTAGTGTGTTGTGTAAGGTGCGTGTGGGCCGAGAGTATGAATGGATGCGTGAGTGAGCGTGTAAGGCGAGCGAGTGGTTTCTCCTGGCCTTCCCCCATCTACACCTTGATCTTATTTGATCGGGTCGTGACCCTTGCCCCGCCGGGCCGCCCCGAAATGAAAAGCTCCCCTCCTGCGAAGCCCCCTTCTTTGGGCGCTGTGCGGCGAGGCCACATGGGCGGCGGCAGCGCCGTGGTTCTCGAGGTCCCGGAGTTGGCCCTGCGGGCGCGGTGCTCAGAAGTGATGAATTGATCAGATAGACGAGGCCGGGTTTGTCCCGTGCCGCTGATTATCGAGGCGATTCTGATCTGAGCCCGGCCCCACGGTGAGGCCACCAGGCTCCTGGACATCGGGGCCAGCCCGTTGAATGTGGGCCGCGGTACGCGCCTGGTTGAGAGTGAACGCACCGTGGCTCCGTTTGCGGGGCTGGAGCGGCCTGGCGACTGAGGCCACGATCGCGCTGCAATCTTCTTCCCAGCTCTCTCCTATTTGTTCTTTAGGGTGGGTTTGTCACGATGACTGCAGGGCACTAACACTGCCCGAAGGTAGCTAGCAGTCTGCTAAGCAGGGAAAAGGGGCGTGTGTGTGATAGCACGGTGTGCGCGCCTTTGCACACGTACACTACAAAAATGGAGACTACTGGGACTCGCCAAAGATTAAGTGAATTGAATGACCAGGGAGGTCTAGGGCAAGCTTGCTTTCTTTTTTTGGCGTTTAAACTTTTTTTTTTTTTTTTTTTTTTTTTTGGTACCAGGGATTGAACTCAGGACCTCGAGTTTGCCAAACAGACACTTATGCCACTGAGCTAAATCCCCAACCCTTAAAGTTTCTTTTAATTGCTCAAAATTATACACATTTATTGGGTATGATGTGATCCCCCAACCCATGCCAGTGGGTGTATACACTAATGTTCATGTCAGGGTACGCATACCTCAAACTTTTGTGTGTGTGGTGAAAGCGTTTAATATCCTTCCTTTTAGCTCTTTTGAAATATACAGTACGTTATCAGTGTCGTGCTACTGTGCAGCAGGTTAGTGTAACTTCTGCATGACTACAGCCTGGAAGCAGCTGACTAGCCTTTTCTTATGCTTTCTTCTCCCAGCCTTTGGTAACCACCTTTTACTCTCAATTTTTATAAAAGCTTTATTTTTTAAGATCCCACATAGGAGTGCAATCATGTGCCTTTGTCTTTCTGTGCTTTATTTCACATGGCTTCCAGTACCAGCCATGTCACAAATGACAGGATCCATCCTTCTGTATGTCTGAATAGTTTGCTGGGTGTAATAAACCCCCACCCATGGAGATAGAGGGAGACTTTCATTTGTGCCCACCATTTGTGTCCTCATCCATTTGTCTTTGGGTTTTTGTTGAGATAAGGTCTAGCTATGTAGTTCAAGCTGGTGCCCTTAAAATCAACAGGCTGGCCTTCAGCTCACGACAATCCTACCTCAACCTTCCGAATGCTGGGATCACAGGCATGGGCCATCACACCCCGTCCCATCGTTTTAAAATTGTGAGCTAAGAGTCTCACCAAATTTTTCATCTTCATGCTTCAGCCTCGCACAGTGCTGGGCTCCAAATGTGTACCACCACATGCAGTTTAAACCACATTTTCTTGATGCATTCATACATTAATGGACACTTGAGTTGTAAATAATGCAGCAGTAAATATGAGATTGCAGGTGTCTCACACACTTATTTCCTTTTCTTTGAACATATATACCTAGTAGGATTGCTGAGTCACATGGTGCTTTTAATTTTTTGAGATGCCTCCATATTATTTTCTATAATGGTCATACTAATTCAATTCCCACCAATGGTGTAAGGTTTGTGTTTTTTAAATATCTTCACCAATGTTGGTTGTCTTTAGTCTTTTATAATAGCCTTTCTGAAGAGTGAGGTGATTATGGTTTTAATTTGGATTTTCCTGCTGATGTTAAGTATCCTCTCATAAACTCTTGGCCATTTGCTTTTGAGAAGTATCTATTTAGGTCTATTGCTCATTTTTTAAATCAGGTGTTTATTTTTATGCTATTGAGTTCTTTATTCTGTATTTTATTTATTTATTGAACTCATGACCTTGCACTTGCTAGGCAGGCGCTTATGCCGCTGAGCACCCAGCCTGAATTTTAAAAAGCAATTTTTTGTTCATTTTTTTGAGACAGGTCTCACTACGTAGTTCAACCTGGTCCTGAGCTCACTATAGCTCCAGCTGGCCTTGATCTTGCAGCAGTCCTCTTGCTTCAGACTCCAGAGTGCTAAGATCACAGGCATGTGCCACCATGCCCGGCCTTTATTCTGGATATTAAACCTTTATCAGGCATAGTCTGCAAATATTTTCTCACATTCTGTAGCTTTTCTCTTAACTGTACTTTTCCTTCCTCATGCAGCAACTTTTTTAATGCCATTCGTCCGTTTTTGGTTTTATTTCCTGTGCCTTTCACGCTTATTTTTCAAAAAATGCTTGCCCATCTGTTGTGAAGCATAGGGCCTTCATGCTGAGATACATCCACAGCTTTTCTTTTTTATCTTGATTTCTTCAGATAATTTGCCATTAGCATTTGGAAACACTATCAATTTTTGAATTGTTGATTATCCTGTGATCTTACTGAAATCATTTATTGAACTAGTTTTCTTGTAGAGTCTTTGAGGTCTTCAACATGCAGGACCATTCTCTTCACACAGTGATATTTTTTACTCTGCCCTTCCCAATCTGGGTGCCCTTTATTTCTTTTGCATGCTGGCTCTGACTGGGACTTCCAGTACTATACCTACCCAAAGTGATGAGAGTGGGCATCCCTTCCTTATTACAGATCTTAAAGCTTTCAGCCTTTTCCCATTTACTGTGATGTCCACTGTGGTTTATTACATCAAAAGATGTTCCTTTCACGTGATTTATTCGGAGTTTTTATCATGTAGGGATGTTGAACTTTATCAAAAATTTTTTTCTGCATCTGTTAGGATGATCACATTGTTTTTATCGTTCTTTAAAAGAGTTGAGAGTGGTGGTACAAATCTGTAATCCCAACACTAGGAGGCTGAGGAGAGATCGAAAGTCTGAGCTCTGCCCAATTTAACTAGAGTTTTTAAAAAGAAAATAAGGGGTGGAGGCAAAGGCCCTGGATTTAACCCCCGTACTGGAAAAAGTGAAGTTAAAGGCTAGTTTATTTCTACTCATGGTTTCAGAGGTTTCACTTTATGGCCAACTGGCTCCATTGCTTTTAGTGTTGTAGGGAGGTTGAACATCATGGTGGAGCAAGGCTGGTTACTTCCTGATGACCAGGAAGCAGAGACAGAGACAGCCAAAGAGGAAGGGGCCAGGAACAAAGTACCCTTTCAAAGCCATCATGCCCCAGTGATCTGCTTCATCCAATTAGGTTCCACTTCCTAATGAGCTTTTTGATCTATGAATCCATCCAGTGACCTTCAGAAGCCCATTGGCTGACAACTAGCCCCTTCACCACAATGAGACTTTTGGGGGCATTTTGGATCTTAACAACATGGTGTGTCATGTGTTTGCGTATGTTAAATCATCATTCCATCCCTAAAATTAATCCCAGTCGTGATGCATAATCTCTTTAATGTGCTGTTGGGTTCAATTTGCTGTTACCTGTTTGGTTGAGGGTTTTTTGTCTTTTTGTAATTCATCAAATTGGACCCAGCTATAAATTCATTGTGTTTGCCAAGCTATATCCTTTGCCCCTGTTTAATTTTTAAAATTTTGAGTCAGTGTCTTGCTAAATTCCCCAGTCTGGACTTGAACTTGTGATCCTGCCTCAGCCTCCCAGAGTGCAAGGATCATAGGAATAAGCCAGCACAGCTTTTCTTTTTTTCGAGGGGTACTGGGGATTGAACTCACAACCTCGTGCTTGCCAGGAGAGCACTTATGGCACTGAGCTAAATCCCTGGCCCTCAGCACAACTTTTATTTTGTTTTTTTGAGCTAGATTCTCACTCTGCAGTTCAGACTGGCCTTGAACTCAGCCTGGCAAAAGCTGAGATTATAGGTGTAACCACCACCATACCCAACATGTTGAGGACATAAGCATCTAGGTTCATTGAGCATATTGGCCGTAGTTGTATCCCTTGTCTGGTTTTGGTATTAGGGCCATGCAGGTCTGATAAAATGAATGTATTTCTCCTTCTAAATCTTTTTTTTTCCTTTTCTTCTTTTTCCCTTCGTTTTCCTTCCCCTTTTGTCTATAATTCCCTGTGATTCTCATGCCTCAGCCTTCCAGGTTTGGAACTTGACAGACAGGCAATGCAACACCATATTTCTTTAAATTTTTGGTATTTTTCTTTAAATTCTTGGTAGAGCTCTATATTTTTAAAAACTTCAACATATGCATGCCAAGCAAGTGCTCTATCACTCTCAACAGGATCTTGTTTTTCAGTACTAGGGGGTGAACCCAAGGCCTTCACAGGGGGTTGTCTCCAGCATGTTTTTGTTTTTTCTTTTTCTTTTCTTTTCTTTTTTTTTTCTTTTTTTTTTTTTTTTTGAGTCAGCTCTCTTGCTTAATTGCTAATTTATCTAGGCTGGGCTTGAACAGGCATCTTCTTCTGCCTTCCAGAATGCTGGAATTACAGGTGTGCGCCACCTCGTCAGGCTAACTTTTAGTAGTAAAGTTTTTTTGTTTTGTTTTGTTTTTGTTTTTGTTTTTGTTTTTTTTCGGCTAAGTATCTGAAAATAACCTGCAGGTAGTGGTTATCCAGGGAGCAGCCTTTCTCTCTCTGCCACTCTCTGCCTCTCTCCGTTGGAGACAGGTTTAAAATAATGAGAACTGAAACTTCATATTGCAAGCAGATAACTATCTGAATAGATTAGAGGGTCCTAGTGAAAAGGGACTGTGACAGTTTGGTTTGAGAACCCTAAATTTGACAGTTGAGTACCTATATAAAGGCCTTTCAATCTGAATTACTTGGTAATACATTGTCAAACTTAGAGATGGAAATTTATTACAGTACTTTATTTTTTGGTATTGGGAATTGAACTCAGGACCTCACACTTGCCCAACAGGCACTATACCACTGATCAAAATTCCTGGTGCCTATGCAATATTTTAAAATTTCACTGGGCTTTTTAAAATTTTTATTTTTAGATTGTCTTGCTGGGTAGTTCAAGCTGGCCTTGAACTCACTGTGTAACCCAGTCTAGCCTCAAACTCCAGTAATCCCTGCCTCAGCCTCCCAAGTGCTGGTATCACAGGTATGCTCCACCACGCCCCACATCACTAGGCCATGTTTTTGTCCAGTCTTTTAATTTTTTTTTTTTTTTTGGTCTTTTTCGTTTTTATCGGTACCAGGGATCAAACTCACAACTGCCTGCTTGCAAGGCAGGTGCTTATGCCGCTGAGCTAAATCCCCAGCCCCCCTCTTGTCCAGTCTTTTATGCTACAACAAATTCCTGTGCCTGATTTGTAATTATAGAAACTACAATAGTGTATTGATTTTTAGGTACCTTCAAACCCAAGCACTAGATACTTGAATGGTGTTCATAAAGGGAAAGAAACTGCTCAAAGGGAAATCATATTGCTTGATCAATTTTGCATGTCTATCTGGTAACCTGAGCAACTATTTTGAAGAAAATATGTAATATAACAAACATTGTTAAATTCCTATCTTATTTTGAAATCCTGTATCGTTATTATTGTTGTCATTTGGCTTTTTTTTTTTTTTTTTTAATTTTTTTTTTTGTCTTTTTCATTTTTATCGGTACCGGGGATTGAACTCATGACCGCCTGCTTGCAAGGCAGGTGCTTATGCCACTGAGCTAAATCCCCAGCGCCCATTTGGCTTTTTTTTGTTTTTTGTTTGCTTCATTGGTTTCTAGTTTTTCTGTGCTTTTTTCCCCTTTAAAATTAAAAAAAACACCTTGAAAGCAATAAACGCATTCATTGTCTAAAAAAAGAAATCAAGACTATGTATTGCAGCATAGACTGACAGAAAAAAGGGAGTTCTCTTCCAGGCAAGGAGACACCAGTGGAGTTAGAGGACTAGAAGACCAGGCAGATAGAGCTCTCAATGAAGGGTACAGCAAATAACTACACCCAGGAAGTCTGAAATCTGGACAGTATGGCTTTGCATATATGTTAATGCTACTTGGAGCTGCTGATGTTACAATGTTTGCAAAATCAAGAGTTCATTGGAAGAATGGCTATGTCTATTTCTTGTTTCTCATACACTTAACTGGCTTCCAGATAAAGGTGTGTAAGATACAAGTGAATGGCTCTGTACAGTTAGTGTGACTATTGTGTAAATCCTTATTTTTTCAGCAAGATGAATTTTCAAGTTGCAAATAGATCCAACAAAACTAGTTTGAGAAATCGAGAAGTTTCCTGTATATTTTAAGAGCTGTGAAGAGGTAGTCATGGGTAACCAAGACTTCAGGCACTGCCTTGCATGAATCTGTTTAATAGTGACAGGCAGCAGGATGTTCCACTGTGATTAGGAGGCCACCTCCACTAGGTAGAGAAGAAGCCACCATCATTCTTTCGGGAATAACCTCCATTGGTGGCTGCAGTATGAGGGGACACTGCAGAGAAAAGAAAAGGGGTGAGCTGTGAATTTCAGGTCATTTCCCTTTCCTGGAATTCAGGAGTCACCCATACATTTATGTGTTGTATGAAGAAGGTTCGTGTAATAACTGGGGAAACTGGAGTCTGGGGGACTGAAGCAAGGTAGTTACAGGTCTTCCTCTTCCAGGTTTATGCCCTGCTGGAGTACTTGCTAGACCTAAGGGTGAGAGACTCTGAATTTGCTAGCTCTATTTGCAAGCATGCCCAGACCCTCAGTAATGTCTGATCATTACACTAGCCAGTAACTTCAAGTCTCAAGATTCCCTAGTCCACTCAAAAAGACCATGTCACTACCCTGCCCACCCACGCCGCCTTCTACCCTCACCTATGGCTCCCTGGATGCTGTGGATGGACTCCTTCTTAGGGTTGATCCACTGTCTGATGTTAGCCCGGGACATGATGGGTGGAGGAGGAAATGGAAAATATTCTCCAGGAAACTGAGTCTTGATGATTCTAGAAGAAGGTGTGGGGAAAAACAGAGGAGAGTGAAATCAATCAGAAAGAGAAAGGTAAGAGGCTGAGGCAGAAAAAAAAATTGTTTGAAACTTAGTAACCTAGGGCAGCCTAGTGACTAAAGTATAGGGAAGTTGCAGCTCAGTGCAAAGACCCTGGGTTCAATTGCAGACAATGCAGAGAGAGAGCAGGGGAGATAAAGATAACTTTATGAGTGCCCAAAAGTAAAGGACCCACAGTCCCTTTTTACCCTTTGGAAAGTTTTTTTTTTTTTTTTTTAACATGATCATAATCTTGGAGGCTTGCTTGCTGTTTTTTCTTTTTCTCCCCCCCCCCCCTTTTTTTTTTTTAGTTTATTTGGAGACTGGGAGTCAGGCTAGCGTTGAATTCACTATACACTCCTAACTGGCCTTGAACTCACGGCAATTCTGCCTCAGCCCCTTGAGTGCTAGGACTACAAGCATATGTTACCATACTTGGCTTACAATCTTAGAGGATTTGTTCTAAAAATACAGAAATTACATTGCTGATATAAAAACACAGAACTTTTACACAAAAGATTGCTATTTTCAGGTGAGATTTTACCTATGGATGGCAGCTTCCTTTGGGTGGAGAGACTATACATCTAACAACTTACTGATGAGTATCCTGGATGGTCTCCTGATGTAACAGTATCTCACTTTTGTCCTTAAAGGTGTCAGTGTGATGGTCATACAAGGCTGCTAAGCGGAAATCAAGGTCATCCTTTGGTATCTACAAGGAAAGTCAGTGCTTCAAGGGTTAACTTGATTCTTGAGTTCTCTTGGGCTTTGTATTCCTCAGAAAGATAGTGAAGTCTCTTTTGGGCCTGAAATCTACCAAATCCTTATAAACTGAATTGTATATAATGAGTTTTTGACTCGTTTACATATAACTGCCCCCATTATAGTTATATCTAAAGGGTTGTGAGCTCATACTAGAAACACAGGAACATTATCCCAACATGGACTTCACTGGTGTCATCTCATTCATGGTTACAGTCAGTCCTTGTTTTAATAAAAAGAATAAGATGTATGGTAAAAATTATTTGCTCCAGAGAACTTCCTGAAGCTTTGTGATTTGATAAATTGGTTTTGGATTTGGCAAAAATTTTAGATGAGGGACAAAAGGAAAGAGGGTAAAGCAGTCAGGGCCAGCTGGCTTTTCAAAAAGGATGTTAATGAGTCCTAACCAAAGATAAAGAGAAATAGTTTTTCAATACTAAGTACCTTCGAATCAAAAACATAAGCATCCCGCCTCATGGAAGTGATCTTAGGAATAGAGCTGAGCCGTCTCCAGGGATCCTGCTGTTGAGCGAGATGAATTGGGTTCTTGAATGGTGATTTCTGCAAAAGAGAAATCACATCCACAACCTGGCTACACGAGGCCTTGCTGATGCGGTCTGTCAGTGACATCCATCTCCTTACTACATTCTTTTTTTTTTTTTTCAGTTTCAGATCTACAAGTGAGCAAAAATATGGGGCAGGACTAGTTTTTCTTAGTGAAAACTGATAGAAATGAGCCAGGAAAACAGGAGAAGGGATGGACTAGGACAAGTCCCTGGGTGGGGAGCAGGTAAAAAAAAGGTGATGAACTTGAGTTTCAACATCCTTGGTATGAAGACAAGGTGAGATTTTTAATGCATTAACAGAAATTGGAAAGTGGGTAACTTAATAGAGAGCTCAGAATAAGTAAGACAGAGCAGGAGTTTGTATTAGTAGCTGAAAAGAAGTTGGCCAAAAATGAGCTGACTGATGAGGACTGCACAGTATTCTGAAAGAAGTGAAGAAGACTACAAAAAGCAGTCAGGAACAATATCTATGTAGGTAAGAAAAAGTTTCAGTGAGCAAATGGGTTATTTGATTGAAGAAATGTCAGAAAAAGTTCATTAAGGCATTTAGTTCTCCTTACAAGCATAAATGTGAAACACACAATTGTTTCCTTCATTTAAAATCTGGTGCCATATTTTCCACCGCTGTATTCCAGGTACTTAGCACAATGACCTAACACATGGTATTTAAAAATGGTATCTTGATTGAATCACTGATCAAATTCCAGTGAGTACAACCAACACCATTAGATTCTCATTCAGCCTTTGCAGTGTTGCGACCCTCCCTTCCCTCAATTTGGCAAGTGCTCTGTCTCTGCTGAATTAAACATTAGCTGAACAGTAATACCCAGCACTCCACTCTCACTGAGAGCCGAACGGTGATACATGATGCGAGACTTCCTGGCTAGCTCTCTGCCACTCTCCTTGACAGCCAGCTACACGCTTATCTTCCTGTCTATCAGCACAAGGATGAGATTGTCTTTCACTGAGAAAAGCTGAGACTGTTTAGTGCCACCTGCTCATTGCTCCCCTTCCATCGCAGGAGAAGGCATCCCTTCTACTCAAGACCCAGCCCTTCTCTTGTCTTTCAAAGACACATGCCTTTCTGCATCCCCTTTCTCTGATCCCAGCCCTCTCCCATTCCTTTGCCATGGTCTATGCCACCATATCAGCCTCCTTCAGAGCTAGACTTCTTCAAGAGTCAACACTCACTGTCTCTACTTTGCACTTTGTCCATATTCCCATCCTGTCTTTAGCCCAATGCAGTCTGGCCTCTGCCTCCAGCATCCCTTGAAACTTTTGCTGGTGAGAAGGTCCCTTTCCAGACTTATGTGATCACTCAGGTTTCTGGCACCAAGACTGAATTCTCTAAAATGTTTTCTCTGCCCCGACCATTCAGCTTCTGTGGTTGTCCACTGGTCTCTGGCTTGTATGTCTCAGTTGCCTTCTCTCTGCCCCTTACACAGTGGGATTCTCCAAGGTCTGGGTTCTGCTTTTCTTCTATTCACTGAATGAGCTGATTCTCTCCTATAATTACAATATGAGTCCAGTCCACATCTTCAGCCAGAACTTTCAGCCTTATTGCCTACAACTAATCTTTATTTAAATGGTCCACAGCCACCATAAAATAAAATATACCTAATGATCTCAACATCTTTCTCCCACAAATTGCTTCTTTGTGACATCCCATTTCAGTGAATGGTAATATGTCCTCAGATATCTAGAAGTTATCTTAGATTTGTTCCTTCTCTTGGGCCTACATTCAGTCAGTGTCTTAGTTACTTTTTACTGGTCACTGAGACAAAATACCTGATGCCCAAAGTTGGGAAAGGAAAGGTTTATTTCTTACAGTTTTTGGAGGTTTCAGTCCATACTCAGTTGGCTCCAAGGGCTGCAAACAGCAAGGCAGAAACTGGCAAAAGAGAGACATACCTTCTTCCTGCCATTACATTGTATGCAGACTCCACTCCTAGATGGGTGTAGCAATGACACCATCCATCCAAGTGCTAGACAATGAACCAATCACAAATGTACAATGCAAATATATGAGGCCTGGGGGCCACCAGCATAAACCATGACTGTCAGTAACCAGATCCCATCAGTCCTGCCCTTTGCATCTTTCTCAATGTGCACCTTACTGCAATCCCATGTCACTGCTGCAGGTAGGGTGTCACTGTTCCTCTCTGACCTCCCATCCTACTTAATCCATACCACGTGTGCTCCCTGCCTTCCCCCGGTAATGAGGATTGAACCTAAGACCTTCTCACTGAGCCATATCCCCAGCCTTTTCCTTGAACTTACTACCTTTCTGCCTCAGCCTCCTACTGTGCTGGGATAACAGGCATGTGCTATCACACACAGTTCACTGTGCTTTCTAAAACACCCATCTAACTTTCTTACACTAGTGCTTAAAAACCCACCATAACTGCCACATCTCTAGCATGAGCTCCTGGCCCACAGCACACCCAGCCACTGGAGTCACGTCTCCAGCTCTAATCACTCCCTGCCTCTAGCACCTCTTCACACCACAACTTCAGTTCTTTGAGACCATGCAATTCCCCAATCTGCCCTACCACCTCACTCCCATGTATCTGAACCTGCTGCTCCCATTTCCTTGAATGTCTGACTCCTGTTCCCTTCTTCCTAACATATCCCACCTGTTCCCTCTCCTGCCCAGCTAACTCATATTCGAATGTCAAAACTCATCTACTCTGGGAAACTTCCCTTCAGGTTCTTGGTTCTCACTTCTCACTAAACTTCCGTATAACTCTCGTAACACACGTGCCACTGTTGCTCATCTATCTTTTCTTCTAGAATTTCTTGACAGCAGAATCTCTAGCTACTTTACCTATACACCTGTGTTAAGCAGAGTGCCTGACATATAGTAAATAATAAATATTGAGTAAGAGGTAGCTTTTTGACATTGTTATTATGCTTAACTTACCATTTAATTCTCTTTATTTTGCACCTCTTCAAATATCCCAGACCCTTCTACCAGAAAAAAAGATCAATTAAATTCTCTGACCACTGACCACAATCACACACACACACACACACACACACACACACGGACATTAACTAGAAGACAGAGGTATTATGAAGACAGATATATAAACCATGATCTGGTGTATTTCAGAGGATTTCCACTTACTTCGTATCTCATATGACTTTGGAGAACTGCCTTCCAAACAGTAAAGGGCAGCTAGCTGGGTGAAAGCTGGGCCCCACTGTGTACACTAATCACTGCTGTGAGCTGCAACAACCCTTTGTTCCTCTAGACTAGAGCTCTCCTCTCTGCTCGAAAGCATTTCTGAGTTGAGGGCAGTAGAACATGTCTATAATTTCAATTACTGGGAAGGCTGAAGCAGGAGGATCACAAATTCGAGTCAGTTTATCAAAACCTTGTCTCAAAATGAAAAACAAAATGGGCTGGGGATGTAGCTCATTGAGAAGACCTTTGGTTCAATCTTAAAAGAAAGAAAAGAAAGAGGGTGCTAGGAGTATAGCTCTGTGGTACATTGCTTGCTTAGCATGCACAAGGCTCTGTATTCAGTCGCCAGAACTAAAAATAAGCAAAACAGCTACAAACAGAAAACGTTAAGAAACCTGAATATAAAGACAAAAAGACAGATTTCTCTGGTACCCGACTCAGTAATCTTACTAAAGGTCTTCATGTTACCCTCTGTGTCCGTCACAGAGACAGAAAGGAGACTGCTGGGGACTCTACTGGAAATTTGCGCAATAACTATAGTACCTTGGAAGCCCGCGGTTTTCCCAAACAAGAGTCATCGCTATCTAACGTAGGTTGCTGGAAAGAGTCCCGAGTGGGAAGCATGCCTAAGTGCAGAGCCAGATGCTCTTTTTGGGATGAGAGGCGGATCAGCAGCCCTGCTGCGGCGCTCTGCGAGGATTTCCGGTCCCAATTGTTTGGAACGCCCAGTTTCCGTTGCCAGGCAACCACTGCTCCCGCTATGACAGGGATGAATTCCCTTCGCGAGAGTCGCCACCTCGCGGTTCGACTCCAGAGAGCCCCTAAGAAAAAGGCGACTGGGAATGAAGAGGGAAAGGGCGGCCCCGCCAGCGAGGAAGCCCTATATTTGCACTCTCCAATCTCGTTTGGAAAGCTCCCACATCTCACCAAGCACTTCTGCAAAAAACTTCATTTGAAGAAAAAAGCTCTAAAAGATGACCTAGAAGTTTCTCTCTTGCTCCTGACGAAAGGTTTTCCTATTTTAAAGCAGAGAGGGGCCAGGAGGTGTAGCTCACAGCTCAGCGGTAGAGCCTGCCGGGCGTGGGCCAGGCTTCCCAGGACTCGGGGAGGACAGTGAGAGAACGGCGAGGTCGGGTGACAGAGGCGCCCACGTGTGGTGCTTGGAAAATCGCCGGGTGATGCAAACTGTCCTTGATATACCCGGCTTAACTGTACAAGGCTTCAGGGTTGACCAGTGAGCGTGACGTCAAAGCAGAGCCTGACTTGGTGGGATGGAAGAAATATCCAGAGCGGGCTCTGGCAGTGGGTGCCGCGTTACTGGGCCACCCTTCCAGAAGACTTTTTGGAGGGTAGAGAGGCCATTTTCATCTCCTTGGTTCACATACAGTGTTCGCGAAATCAGAGGAGCTTAGAAATAGCCTCTGGCCCGGAAGGGCAGTAGAAACGCCAGTTCGTCAGCGGCGCCTCTGCTCGGAGGATACTGTTCACGTGCGCTTCGCGCCCACTCCGGGCGCGCCTGCCCCGCGCCTGCCCCGCGCCTGCCCCGCGCCTGCCCCGCGCCTGCCCCGCGCCTGCCCCGCGCCTGCCCCGCGCCTGCCGGTTGCGCCGGTTACGTCGGTTGCATCCCGGGCGCGCGCACCTTGCGCAGGGCGGCAGCGGTTTCCATAGCAACCCGCAGGTGCGCTGCGGAGGCGCGCGCGGTCCCTGCGCTGCGCGAAAGAGGATGTGGTTGTCAAGGCGACGTGGCTAGGAGGAGAGGACAGAGAGAGGAGGAAGGATGGGCGGCCTTGGTGTAGCCGCAGGGAGGTGACTGAAGCGAGCCCGGCCCCTTGCATCCTCCCCCTGTGTACCTCCCTCCCCTTTTTTTCCTCCTCCTGCCAGCAGAAGCAGCCACCGCAGCACCTGAGCCGTTACTGCCGTTCGGCTCAGGACAACGCGATGACTGAGCCTGGTCGCAGCCACCATCCCTCTGCCAGAGGCGGGGGCAGAAGTGAGAATCGCAAGTCCCAGCTTCTGCACCTCCTGTTCTGGGCTGGGACCGCTTTCCAGGTAACCTGGGGAACAGGATCAGAGGAGCTTCACGCCTGCAAAGAGGTACTGTTCATCCTTCCGATCCGACCCCACTTTGGTCAGAAATATTTTAGATCCAGGCAGAGACCTTGGGCACCCAGGCGCAGTTTTAGAGGCCACGGAGTTTGAATATCTTTGGGGGTGAGGTGTGTGTGTGTGTGTGTGTGTGTGTGTGTGTGTGTGTGTGTGAGAGAGAGAGACAGGATGAGGCTGGCGTCAGGGGGAGGCCAACCCACTGGAAGACTCCTGAAATAGATCACCCTCACAGCTTGGGGTGCTGAGCTCAGCGAGAAAAGTCCCAGCTCCGAGAAGACGAGTGGCCTGGGTCCCTGGACTCAGGAAGAGTAAGGAGAAAGACATGAATTGTTTTCCAGATGCGGTGAAATTACCTGAAAAGTAGTTAGAAAAGATTCTGTACAGAGAGGCAAAATAGAAAGAGGAAAGGAGGGCGGTAAGATAAGGAGTTAGGAAGGCCAAAGAAAGTGGTGGACCCAAGTAGGAATCCTTGTGGCTTTTAATTGGGATTTCAAAAAAAAGCGTGAAGGTGAAGGTGGGAGATGTGTGGACTGGAACTGTAGGAGGCCACCGACTCTCTCCTTGGTATTGAACACCAACCTTCCTTGTAGGCTACTAAATGAAGTGATCTCCTAGTTTTGCCTCCCCTCAGCATGCTTTGTTTGCCGTTTAGCACGTGTTCTACATTGATCCAAAGTGGGAGGAGTTTAACAGAGAATTTTCTGCTATTCTCGTTCTCTGGATTTCTGTTAACATATGCTAGGTCTTTTTAAATGTTTCTAAATTGTTGACAACATATTTCAGATGATAGGTAATAAATATCTTAAAACCAAAAATATCTTTCGAAAATTATTTTTGGAGGGACACAGAAAAGTCTTAAGAATAACAAAATTTAGTAGTTTCTATATTATTAAAATAACAGTATTTGGTTGTGTCCCAAATTTTTTTTTTTAAACGTGCCAGTGGCAACAATAAAATACTTACAGGAATTACCCTGGAGAGGGCAATAAAATTTCTCTTATCTGTGAAATGTGAAAGTTTTCAAAAATACCTTGAGTCTAGCATTGTAAAAGTAATACCCGCCCAAAAGTAGTACCCAATGTCAAATTTAGCTAAGGTTTTGAGAAGCTAAGTCATCAGTATTAACTGGTTAGCAAGAGCAATTCTATCCCATATGGAGTTACATAATTAGTAAGGTGTCTTCAGCACTAGACTGTCTACAACCTAGCAAATTATGAAGGAGAAGTAGAGATTTTTGTGTGGAGATAGATGTTTGACTTGAAAAATTCATGAATATGACAAAACTGACCCTAATTGGTGGGACTTTATGACACGTTTTAAAGGTGGCTGGAAACAGGATGGTTTTGTCAGTTTCTATGGCTCAGTTGCCTTGGTGGCCTGTGATATAATCAACAAAAAAAAATGAGTCCAAGCAAGTTCACTTCTCTAAGAAACACATTGGTGACTGCTGTGTGGAAGATGAGTCTTCCAGATCAAATGCCAGTTCTTGTTGCAAACTTTGTCAACTATGAGAAACAAGAGACATTGAAGACATTTAACAGTTCATATCATCTTAGTTTGGAGAAACGGAAGAATATTGGTATTTAAGATCACTAACTTGGATGAAAATTTTTTCTTTAGTCCTATTCAAATGACTAATATCTGCTTAAGCAAATGGTCCTAGCAGAAATGTGAGCTTGGTGTCATTCAGCACACCAAGATTCCAATCCTGTTGCCAGTTTTCAGATCTGTACATTGGGCTTTCCAGTAAACCTTCAGAAAGGACTATTTTTGGCTTGGAAAAAATACATCTAAACCCAAAATGAAACCATCTCCTTTGTTCAGGTTCTTTTCTAGGACTCTGTACCCCATGTTAGTTTGTAAATGGCGTGGAAGGGCACTCATTGGCTGCAGGCATCAGTAAGCTCTGTTTACACTCTGCTTGAGCAAACAGTGGCTGCTGAACACCTTCGACTCCAAAATAATAGGGAACATAATAAACTCATTATTATGATATTCTTCTCTTGGCAATATGAACTGATCCAACAAGTTTTGGAGCTTCCAACCTCAAGTAGTAGAAAATGAGTTCAATATAGACTAGATCTTTTCTGTTCTTAATCTTCATATGAACTTCTTGTAAACCCATTTTAGGCATTCATGTTAAAGACTTTTACCACGTCAAGGCTGATCCTAATGGCAGTGGTGCTGTTGCAGCCTATCTGTAAAAGCTGAGACATCGCTCTTGATCTAATTAGGAAAAAGAGGTTTAACTGGAGGTCTAAACAGAAGTGGCAAAGAACTGGGAGTTGTGGCATACTGGAATTGTGCGGAGGACTTCGCGTTCCTGTCACAGTTTTATAATAATCAGGGTCACCAGTGAAACTAAACATCCTGTATGATGTTTGTCTTTATGAATCATTTTTAGATCCATACTAATCCAGACTAAATACTGATTGGGAGCCAAAGGTGAGTTTTTCACAGTACAATGTGTCTATGTCAAATGAGAGGGGAACAGAAAACAGCCTTGCCAGGATGTTTCAGTGCTAATTGCTCCCAAAGGGACCTCCTAGCCTATATTAAAAGTCTCAGGGCTTGGGAATCTGATAGACATGAATTGGAATAAAATTTGTTGAATGAGTAACGACTCTGATTTAGTAAGGATGCAAGTCAATTAACTACTGACAGCCTCATTAGTCCTGATCTGTAGAATAGAGATGATAATACCCATGTTACAGGACTGTAGAAAGAATTAAATCAAATTAGATAATGTATGGAAAGTGACTGGTACGTATCCTTGATGGAGTGTAGATATTTATTATGAAATGGTGGGCAGAAAAGTTATGTACACAATGATCTATACATAATGACATAAGGTTAACATGGGATAAACAATGCAGGAACAGTAATAAAGATTAACATGGGGTAAACAGTGCAGAAGTGGCAATAAAGGGGTAGAGAGAAATAGAGTGACAAACATTTATTTGAACAGTTGGCTCCTGACCTGCCGCAGGAATAATCAGTAACATTCATTGGTCAGAGATGAAGAAAGAACTCATCTGGAGGGAGGAGCCTGGCCAAAGTCCTCAGGTAGAATATACAAACCATTCTGAAATGGCAAGACGGCCAACTGGTTGAAATGTGGAATAATGTGGCCAACAATAGAAGACAAGGTTGAGAAGTTATATCCTCAGTAGAGAGTCCCTGAAGGATTTCTGGTTGAGATAGCAGCCTGCTCAGAGTAGATTAGCAATACTAGAAAATAAACAAGGTGGACACAGCCAAAAGGTGAGAGTAGAGATTGGTAAGGGATTGTGATGTTACTTCAGAAGATTTTACTGTTATCAAGGATGAGATTAAAGAGAGGGCTGCACTGAATGGTGGCAGTGAGATAAATGAAAGTTGAAGACAGGACTCATAGGCCAAAGGGAAAGTCAGATGTTACAGCTGATTAAAAGTGTAGGAGGATGGTGAGGGACTCATTGAGACATTTTATCAGGATTTGAGTGAGAGAGTGGTAAGAACTAGAAGAAAAGCAGAAAACATAGCCTTAGAGTGCACACTGATCCCTTTGTCTTTATCACTTCCTTGGGATGAGTTTTAGCAGTAGGTGGGAAAAGGTGTGGAGGCTCTTTGGCAGAGAACCTCCCTGGGCTTTTATCTTTCCTCCTGTATTGCGATCATACATTATTGAGGCTTGAACTCCACAGTTGAAATGGCTAGATGTAAAAAGTAATCAGGAACCCTGGGCTTTCAGAAAATATTTTGCAAAATTAAAAGATTGAAAATGATTCCCATGGTTGGGAGCCATCAAGATAGGATGCTTAAAACACTCCCATATTTGATGAAAGAGGGAAAATTAAAACTCTCCATTTGTCATGCAGTACAAAGAAGAGCAGAATGTACTGTTTTTGTTTGCTGTCAGAGGGAATAAAGGAATAGTTCATTTTTGGGATCAGAAGACATTTAAGAGGTCATTTTGTTTATTTTTCTGACTTAAGTAAGAATGCACTAAAACTAAAACAGACTGGTAGCAATCAGACTTATTTAAAAAGTTCAAAAAATTATAAAAGTGGCACATTTCATTGGTAGACAATAGAAATGTAGGTTAAAAAAGAGAAGATAATAAAACTACTTATAATGCCATCATTCAAACTCATTTTAATGTATACATTTGTGACACAGAGACAGAATAGTGGTACAGAGTGGGGGTGGGTAAAATTAGCTAGGCTGAGCTGTTTCCAACTCCTCCACTGAGTAACTGACTCTGGGAAATTATTCTCCTCATCCTTTGTTTATTTATCTTCAAAATGAGAATCTTGGAGGCCAGGGATCTATTGTAGTGGAGAGTGCTTGCATAGTATGCATGAGATCCTGCTCTGATCCTCAGTAACTTACAAAAAAGAAAATAGTGTTAGCATCCACTTAATTATGATAATGTAACATTAGGCAAGTTAATACATGCAAAGTGCTTAGGCCAGTTCTTGGTACATGTGCATAGTAAGTGCTCTATAACATACCTGACCTAATCAGACTTGTAATAGAAGTATAATTAAAACCGTATTATTATTTTAAGGATGATTCTCTGAAATCATTTCAGTGCATTGAAAAGAAAAAATAAGTAGTCATAAAAGAGATTTTGAGGGGGGCTGGGGGTTTAGCTCAGTGGCATAAGCACCTGCCTTGCAAGCAGGTGGTCGTGAGTTTGATCCCCAGTACCGATAAAAAGGAAAAAGACCAAAAAAAAAAAAAAAAAAAAAAAAAAAAAAAAGATATTTTGAGGAAAAAGTTGGAGGAACTTGGGAAAGAGAATCAGGAATGCATAGTTGTTGAGGCTGGAGCTATGCTGACCCACTGGTGGCCACTAGCCACATGTGACTATTGAGCACTTGAGTGACAAGGGCTGCTGAGGAAATAGACTTTAAATTTTACTTCATTTTAATTAACTGAAATTTAAAATAGATATTCAATTTAACTATTGAAAAACTTTGTGTTTGGAATGATATGGATAT